TATATATATATATATATATATATATATATATATATATATATATATATGGAATCCCCAAAGTTTGGGAAGCAACGGTGTGGAGAGAAATGAAAGAGCTTTATTTTATTTTATTTTAAATATAAAAAAGATATATATTTCTATTTATTAGTTCATGGTTTTGCGTGGTGTAATTATTAAAGGGGAAAAGAGATGATTATCTTTATAGCTAGCCAATATATTAAGAACAACCTCTAAAGTATTATTTCACTAATACTTTAAAATTGTTACTAGTTATTTCTTATTAAATCATTCATACCCCATATAATATTTTCGTTTGTGTATCAATATACATGAATTCTATTTATATATGTTATATCTTCTAAATAACAAAGATATTCAAAAACAGGCAAAATTTCCAAATCTGAAAAGATTATGTAAAATCTTGATCTAATTACCCTGAATGTGTGGAAAATTCATGATATAATTGTTTAAACGTGAATCATTCGTGCAAGATTCCAATTTCTATAAATTTATTATTAATGGGGCGCCAATAAATAGTTAAAAAAAAGGCGAATTGAGAAATGATGTGAAAATGGGAATATTCTTGAGAGATGTCTCAGGCCATAAGCAAATCACCACCATAAGGTTGAAGCACTTTTGATGGACAATGATTTTTACACCAATATGCTACTTTGACCTCTTTCCAACTTGCTCTTTTCCAAATATATTTGGTGAGTATATTTTTTTTTAATGACGAAGATTTTTCAAATGAAACAATAACATTCAAAATGGTCCATGGGATGGTCAAGTGGTCGATCTGAGGGTGCAAAACACATTAAGGTCGGGTGTTCGATTTCACTTGGTGGAAAGAGATGTAATTTCTAAACCAAAATAATCCATATACAAAGGTTGATCTCAGGATTAGGGTGGATATAGTTGGGGCGAAGGCCTGGAAAACCATCCTGGTTATAAAAAAATTCAAAATATATATTTCTCGAATTCATAAAATATTTATAGCTATATATATATATTATGTTACTGATATTTTATTATATTCAATAGTTAACTGTAAAAGAAATTTTTTAGTGATATCAATCGAAAAATAAAAAAATTATTAAATAAATTCCGATTAAGCAATGTTTAAACATTGTAACATCGTCGAATGTCCTGATTTTCTCAAAATATGAGAAAAATATAATCAATTGCCTAACTTCGACTATAATTTTTTTTTTAGATTTTGGTTTTTTATTTTTCCATTGTTGGTTTTAGTTGATTTTTTTCACTAAAATAGTTTTCCAAATTTTTAAAAAAACTAAATTTACTTTTTTTTTGTATTCTAAAAAATCCAAAAACTCCGTCCATTCAACCGTTCTATTCATCGATCACTTGCCAATACATAACAATACTAACGATTTTTATGAGAAAATTCATTTTAAATTGGTAATTTCCGGAGGAGGAAAAGACTGAGGGAGGTGATGACCGGCATTAGCATGAACGGTTGGGAAGAAATTGTGACCGTCGAATAAGGCATCTGCTTGGTTGGAAGGAACATGGAATCACACTGAGTTTAATCAATGATTATAAATTGTTAACCATGATTAATTAATTCCTTAATCACATCAGTAAGCCAATGGGAAGAAAGAAAAGGAAGATTTCATGTGGCTGCGATTAGGGTTTCAGAGATCTCACCACTTTCCATTCCTTTTCTTCTCCCCTTTAATTTGTCAGTCATTTTCCTCTCTTTTTCTTCCGACCATCCATTTCCTCTCAATTGGGTATTTCATATGTTTCCTCAAATTAATTATTTTTAAACCATAGCATATTACTGAAATTACATTTAATCAGAACATGCATGAAACAAAACAAGTTGATGTTATTTTATAAATAATTCCAAATCCACTGTATAAACATTCCCAATATTACTAGCAATTGTAATTTGGGAATTTTTCTGTGAACGATTAATGAAATGTTTTTACATTTGGTTACCATTAATATGTGTGTTTGTATATATACACACACATGAATTTGAAGAGTTATATTGTTTTGATACCCTCATTTTCGATAAGTAAAAATTGAGGCGTATGCAATAATTTTATTGGCTTATTTTTTTTATTTTTTATAAATTAGTTTGAATAAAAGGAACACAATAATTTTTCTAAGCAATTAAAAATATCAATTGTACAACAAAGTAATATGAAATAAATATAATTTTTAATTGCATATACTTTTAGCCCGGTGTTAAAACATATGCTATATCAGCACTACACAACGTAGTTCCAAATCAGGGTTGCGTATAAGTATTGAGCTTTTTAAGTCATAAAATACTAATTATTTTTTTTTGGGAATTCAAATAAATGGCCCAAAAAATATATAATATTATTGCGATGAGAAAATAAATAGTTGTTCACCGGTTTATTCGTAGGTCATGTCTTTATAGGAAGCTTTTAAGGCTTGGCTTTCTTGTTGGTAACCACTTGGTTTTTCAAATATATATATATATATATATATATATATACTTTTCGAGGGGATATAAAACAATTTAAGAACTAGTAATTCTTGCAACTTCTTGGTAGGAAACATATATATATATATATATATATATATATATATATATATATATATAAAACTTCTTCAAAAACATAGAATTTCTTAAATGAATAATCTTTTGTGAAAGGTTGAATGGTATATTAGAAATCTCAAAGAGTGTCTTGTTCTTCGAATTACAATTAATAAAATTATTTTTAATTAAAAAAGTCTAAGGATGTACGCGGCGATCAGGTTTTGCCAGCTGCCTGTGATAGGAAAAAGAAAACTTGATCAGATAGTTCGTGATTAATTTTTGTAATATATTTATAAGTTAGATATCCAAATCGAGATTATTTTATAATATTAATGAAATTTATTCTAATATCTTCATTTCAGAATATTATAATATTTAATCTAGGCAGGCAAAGCAAATTAAACTCTTAATTAAAAATATCAGACATTTTTAAAATCGATTTGAATAATTATAGCTAGAACACAGCAAAACATATATCATATTGTGCACATATTATATGTTATCTTCGTGTACACGTGCTAGACGAATACAAAATAAAAGCCGAATGTGAGATTTTTGCCTCCACTAATTATAATTATTTAAAAAAAATAGATTACGAAAATGAAATAGATTATAAAAAAAATGAAAGTGAAATAGAATACAAACAACGTAGTTATGCGTATAACATCGCAAAAAAAAAAAGAACGTATTTTAGTTAAATACAATACTATTTTCAGGCTTAATTTAGTTATGTGGCAATATTATAAATAAGCAAAACTTCGGAGGGCATAAAAAAACATCATCAGAAACTTTGATGGACGTTTCGGTGGCCAATTAGGATTGAGTATTTTTTTTTCAATTTTTTCTTTAAATTATATTTATTCAATTTTACATTAATTTAAATTTGATTAATTTTTTCGATAATTTTTTTTCGCTTCAAATAATATTATATTTTATTTATAACAATTTGATCTTGTATAACCGAATCCAAATACCTTTGAATATCGTTACTTTTATTTTTGTTTTCAATTTTAAACAAACATAATGTTTTTTTTTAATTGGACAAGAAATATCTTAAATGGCTTTCAACTATTAAACGATATCTTTAAACCTTACACATTTAAACTAATTTCCATTCATTTCTATTTTTTTCATTCAAAAGTTTCTTTTTCATTAAATTTATTATTTTTTCGAACAATAACTTTATTTTCCCTTTCTTATAATTTTTCTTAGTTAAATTGATACGACATGAAAAGAAATGAGCCTAACTTGTTGAAGATATGCCATGTAAATTCTATACACTCCTCACTTCAAAATTTTTAAAATAAAATAAAAGAAGAATGTGGGGATTTGTTATGTTCTTGATTCCACTCATTATTAATTTGGTCAATTCATTGAGAATATTTAAGAACTCTGCAAATGATTTCAGATCCCATATGATACATCTGCAGTCATATCATTAAACGTGAAGCATGATGCATCACTCATATGTTGTATGATGTGATGTTATCAATATCTTTCTCTATATAGTTTTAAATATTATTGTGATAAATCGACAAGAAAAAATCATATATACATCACTTTTTCTTGTATTGTATCAGTTTAATTGTAACTCTACCTTCATATATTATTTAATAAATATTTTATATTTCTATTATTTTTTATCTAATTTTTGGGATTTTTAAAGTATTATATCCATTTTATTTAAGATATACTTTTTTACTATTTCTCTTCGTATTTGTGTTTTAAATACATTTTTTTTACAACGGAGTAAACCCATCGGTTCCAATACATAATTATATTCATTCGTTTTATATTAAATCTGAGTCATATTCCATTTATTTAATTCAGTTAAAAAAAAAATCAAAACCTAATGATATTTATATCAAATTCAGAATTGGATAAAAGTATCATTCCATTCTAGTATTGTTTGACAAACATCAAAACGCCGCTAGATATTTATGCTTACACGAAGCATGTATTTGCTTGATAATATGAAACTGTATAGATGTCGATTGGCCTAAAACATAATGGTGTGAATCCTACCTACACGCATGCGACAATCTAAAGCCAAATTTTGAGATAAAACGCAATAGCATTGTTCTATTTTATAATCTAATATTTTTTTATTAAGTTTCTCTAATGGTTATTATACGTTATCGTACTTTATAAATTATATGTAAAAAAAAATAAACTATAAACCTAATTTTTGCTGCCAAATCATGAAGCTCAATAGTGCCCAAGGCAGGGATGATGAAAGTACACGTGGCAAGAACCCAGTGGAAAATGTTGTTACCTTTGACTGGTACGATGAATAAAAGGAGGTGATCACGGTTACGATTTCATGGTTTGGACCGCCCCAATGGAAATCTCGTAAGTAGCGTTTTTTTTCTTCCTTTTTGTTATAAAATTTGTCTTATAATACTAAATACAATTTATGCTGGATATATTCATATATATATATATATATATTATTAAAAAAACTCGCATGTAAAAGAAAAAATTGTTAAAAAAACAATCAAGGTATACACAATAATATATTTCATATGATACTCGTTGGTTTACAGTTACATCGTTTTTCCGATGGTGTATACACAAATCGAATTAATATGAAATATTTTTTCCATTATATATAAAAATATATTAATTACATCGTGGTTATTATATCGCCGCAGAGAACCGATATGAAATATATATTAAATAAATTTTCTCGTTAATTTTTTAGAAAGAATGATTATAAAACAATTCAACAATATATTTATTTCAATATAAATCAAACTAAGATATGACCTATCGAATATTTGGCTGGAAAGCTAGCGGTCGATCAATGGACGAAATATTGTGCTCCATGCTAATTGGTTATACCAAAAGAACCATTATTTAATTAGTATAGTTTCACTATATTGAACATATTTTTTTATTGGATTCTTTTAAAAAAAACAATAAAGTAAAGTAGTTCATTTTATGAATACGATGCAATGAAAATATAAACCAAGGTTTGGTATAAAGTTTTGAATGCAATATATTATAAACCAATAATGTACAACATATATTATTTTTTAAAAAAAATATCTAACACCAATAATTTTTCATGGTCTTTTCCTCTAGCGGAAACGACGTCGTTTCGCACTACAATGGCTTCTATTGCAACATGCAAAAGTTTCACACCCTAACTCGGTCTCTCCCTCTATATATATCTCACACCATTTGCTTTGTGAACTCAGAGCGACGAAGCAAACTCAGTTTCAAAGATCTCTCTCTCTCTCTCGATTTCGATCTCTCCCTTTCCGTTTTTCTTCGATAGTTTCTATCCGAGGGAGAGAAAGAGAAATAAAGATAATCGATATGGCTATTGCACCGACTCAAAATGCATGGGCATTTGCATTCGGAATCATGGGTATTTATCCGTATAGCGCATCATTTACGCAAATAAATGAAGTTTTTACGATAAAAAACTCATTATATTCTTCTATATAACGCGTTTTGCAGGCAACATCATATCGTTCATCGTGTTTTTGGCCCCAGTGTGAGTAGTACCATCTTCTCGTCTCCATAACCTTCTCTCGTCTGTTCTTTCTCATTAACGTAGACTTATATATATACACACACGTATGTATTGGATTTGTTGTTTAGGCCGACGTTCGTAAGGATCTGCAAGAAGAAATCGACAGAGGGTTTCCAATCGCTTCCGTACGTTACCGCACTCTTCAGCGCGATGCTTTGGATTTACTACGCTTTGCAGAAAGACGGGTCGGGATTCCTTCTCATCACCATAAATGGCGTCGGATGCTTCATCGAGACAATCTACATCATCCTCTTCGTCGCCTTCGCTCACAAGAAAGCCAGGGGACGGAATCTTTAATACATATACACGTATACGTATATCGCATATATATATATATATATATATATATATATATATATGGTTTGATTAATTACGTATAAAACGACGTTGCAGGTATCAACCTTGAAGGTTATAGGGCTCTTGAACTTCTTAGGGTTTTGCGCCATTGTTCTTGTGTGTCAGCTCTTAACCAAAGGATCGAACCGGGCGAAAGTGCTTGGAGGGATTTGCGTCGGATTTTCCGTCAGCGTATTCGCAGCTCCTCTGAGTATAATCGTACGTATATATATCATACAAATACGTATATGTTTTCATTTTAATTGTTCATGTGAACCCGAAAACACTGTCTTAACATCCTAATATATCAGTGGTCAAGCGTTACGTATAGTTTTCGTACGTCCTTTCGTACCTCTATACACTTATATTTTTCGTACATCACGTACGTACGTATATGCATGGACAGACGAACGGTCATGCTAAAGAGTCAATATTCATATATATGAAGAACATATTCTTGGGAATTGACAAATGATAATAATATATAGTTTCACTTGGGGAATATTAAAATGCGAAAAATAAAATTTGATGCAGAGAGTGGTGGTTCGGACAAAAAGTGTGGAGTTCATGCCATTTTCTCTGTCCTTCTTCCTCACACTTAGCGCCGTGACGTGGCTTCTCTACGGTCTCTCCATTAAAGACTTCTATGTTGCGGTAAGTATATAATAATACATATTTAATTTAGTTTTATGCCTTTTTAAACTATATAATATACATAGATAATATGTTACGTGGATGGTTCATGTCTAAAGGAAAAAGATGTTGCCACCTTTTGTCTATTTGTCCTTCCAACTATGTAAAAGGTTAATAAAAAATATTGTGGCAAAGGAATATATCACTTGAAAACCGTACGCATATTTATTTTTCCTTTATGATTGCAATCATATATTATATACATATGTTGACCATTTGGCCACAGTCCTAAAATGTATATGAACCCATAAATAATAATATACCAAGAAACCAAAATCATTTTAACAAAAAAGGATTCTCTTTCAATGCCCACCGTTACTATTATATATATATATATATATATATATATGAAATTTTATACATTGACTTATATAATCAATACAATTACTGAATTTATTTTTTGTTTATTTATAATATTGAAGCTTCCAAACATATTGGGTGCATTTTTGGGAGTGGTTCAAATGATTCTCTACATAGTATACAAATACTACAAAGCACCGGCTGTTCAAGAGACGGAGAAGACCAAAAAGGTGCCGGATCACTCCATCGACATAGCCAAGCTGGCC